AATTGAAGACCTAAAAGATGACAAAGATGTGATGAAATATAAAGTGTTTTAACTCACTTCAGACCTAGACTGGACTCCAAGTTTCAGTTCTGGTCCAATTAGTAGATTTTATCATCTCCAAATGGGGGGTGTCATGAGTGGGTGGTTAGAATACATCAAGGTAGCTAAGATAAGGAGGTTTACAACCATCATATTGTTAATCAGTACAAAGGCAATATAGAAGGATTTTTTCCTTCTACAAGTAAAAGTTGAAAGATCATAGTTTCTCCAAATGCACTGCTCTTAAAATAGTAACCCTGACTTTTATGTTCACCTGTGTGTGCCCAGCTTACCTGCGCCGTAGGCTCTTTTTCTCTTGGATCATTAGCTATGGGAAAGGTGAGGCTGCAGTCTCATCTTTTTTTTCCTTCTCCAGCCATGTGTATTTGATGAATCTCTGATAACATACTATCCACCGCCCCCCAGATAAGTTACCTCTGTTGCCAACTATTACTGGAAAGAAGAGGGAAGTATTTCATTCTGAGTGTCCATCCAAGACACAAACACCTCCTCTAGGAAATAGATCATGTAAGCTTAACTTTATTAAATAGTTCAGATATCAGACCCAAGCCATGGAGAGACAGGAGGATGCACAGCCACTTAATGACCAGATAAAAAGGCAGGCGTTCACTGTCACCATTCGGACTGTGACTGCGCTCTGAGTCCACTCCTGCTCCTCTTGCCCCTTTCTGCTTATCACCTTCTGTTCTGTAAAACCTTCTTCCTGCCCGAATGTATTTGGCCCACTGCTCCTACACCCCCAAATCAGCCAGTCCCTTACCCATTCCAAGTCATGTGAACTTTATCACTTCTCACCACAGTGTTCATTGGTGCTCCACCTGTCGTTCCAATGTCTATTTTTGAATAAAAAGAAGAAACATTTAAGACTTTAGAGCAGAAGCAAGCATGAGAGAATTTGGAATGATTCTCAGTTGTGGGGTGTTTTTTTTTTTTTGAGATTGCTGGAGTTTTTTTTCTTATATTGTCTAAGAAGCATTTACAAGAAAATCTTCTCATAAGGGCTAATTTTTTTACCTAGAGCTATAAAGTGTGCTTGCCTGTAAGAATAATGTCACTCGTGCTAGTATAACTTGGTTTTTCACATATATAAAAAACTCACTTCCTGACCTTGCCTAATTCTATTATTTTAATTGAAGGCCACTATGTCTGATTGCTCTTTTCCAATTCTTAGATCTTGCTCTGGATATTCTATTCTATTCCATTCTAACATAAATGAAATACAGAAGGGGAGTCTTACCAATACAGGCACAATAGGCTGGATTGGACACTGTCACATCTAAAACATCGCGTCTGTATTGGAGAAGATCTACGAAGTGCTTGTCATTTACATTGTCTGTTTTGGTAAAGTCTCAGAGGTTCTGATCCACTGGTCTACCTAGTGGATCACCTAGGTCCACCTCTTTCTGAGATGTCCCACATTATCCTACCATGAAGATCACAACCAATTAGACCAAGGACCAGCACTCCCCTTAGAGACAGCCTTTTGTAGGCCACCTGGGAGCACCTGGGAGCTCTGTCCTAAAGTCTACCATTGTTCAAAATTGATCCAATCAGGTGATCTCTCTTGGGGACCTTGAATCCAAGACAGACAGAAATAATCAAATAAAAGCAACATGTGGAAGAAAAACAAAAAGACAAGAGAGAAGGCTGTCAACCAAGGGCACGGTGCTGAGAAACCATAGCTAAAGCAGTAGACAGAATCACATCCTTGGTCCTGGCTCCGCACCCAAGTTTTCACTGGTTGTGACAGTTGAATCTCAATCCTTCCCAATGGCTTAGACCATAAATACAGTAAGGAAAATGTCCCTTCTGTAATCATAAGTCTAGACATCTGTCATGTACTGCAGAGCTTGATGGAAACATCATTGTGGAATAAAAGTTCCAAAAGGAATGAATGAATGAATGAATGAATGAATAGATGAATAAATGAATAAATAAACAAACAAATAAATAAAGCAGTAGACAGAAGGTAGAGTGACCCAGTAGCAAAGTACAGTCTCAACCTATTGCCATGGTCCTCAACTGGGAGTGACCAACTTTATCATAGTCCTCAGGCCTGGCTGTCTGGCTACTGAAGTTATTCCTGTTACTCCTTGTTTACCTATGCATTTTGCTGTCATTACCTATTACCCAGAGCAATTTAAGGTTTTTTTTTTTTCTCTAAAAATCAACGTAAGTCTTACTAAAACATTATTAAAATGGAGGAGAGTTTTATGTTCAAGAAATTGGTCTTTCAGACTAGCTTAAATAAAGGAATTGATTGATCATGAAGATAGTTTAAATAATGCTGAAACAGGTTTTATTTGTCATATATTTTTCCAACATAGTAATACTGTTCAGAAATAAATAATGCAAATGTCTTAGGAATTTGTTATGAGAAAAACAGTATTTTAACATTACAGCTTCACAGTAAGGATTATTACTGAATATTAACTTTTTATGTGTGTATAGGTTAGAATCATATAAATTCTGACTCAGAATAATTTATATCCCACATGAGTTGAAATGCAATTGAAAAAAATCTAGAAATAATACTTTAAATAAAACCTATATGTTCAATACCTTTCTTAGTTGACTACATACTTATCTATAAATCTTAATCACAGTGTTTGTTGAAACTAAAATTGCTTAGCTCCAGAATCTACTTGTATAAACATTTATAAATTACTTTTCAAGCAGATATTTACTGTTAATGTTCTTCTCTTAGATTCATTTATCGTTGTGTGTAAGTGAACTTGAGAGCAACACATTTTATGTCACAAGCCCTTGAAACAACTGGTCAAATGTGTTATCATTTTTATGAAACTTATTAGTTGGTCTTAGAGCAATTTATTCTAGCATTAGATGATAATGATATAAGTATTCTACTTTAATCTTTATGTCTGTCTGTTTCTCATTTATTTTGTGCATTCTTGAAACTGTAAGATGCCCAAGTGACTTTTGATCAAGCAATAAACTATTTCATGGTTGGTGGTAAAGAATAAGGAAAACTCTAATCATTTTGACAATTTCATTTGAATATGCACAATGATTGTCAAAGATTGTCTCATGTTTATAATTAATGTTTAAGGCCAGCAGAAACAACAAACAGGATGAATAAGGAAGAGGCAAAACTGCTGTTTATGTCAGTTCCCTTGATTCTGGGTCTACAAGTAAATCCTGGTTATGAGAGAAGCAGTATCATCGATTGGATGCTGACTCAGATCATATAGAGCCTTCTGGAAAACCTTCGCCCCAGCCCCACAGGGAACTGTCACCCCCCTAGCTGGTACAATAGTTAAGCCTTGCATAGGGCCCTCTGCCATTCTGCTATACCAGCTACTTCAGGATAGCGGGCAGCATGGTGATATCATTGAATCCGCAAGCACAGCGCCACCATGCACTTCATTAGCTGTGAAGGGAGTCCCTTGATCAGAAGCAATGCCGTGTCGAAGACCATGATGACGGCCAAGTCATTTTTTAAAAATTCATGGGTAGTAGCATTGCAGTAGCAATGTGTGCAGGGAAAACAAATCCATATCCAGATTGCCTGTTAGAGTGAGAACAAAACGCTGCCCTTCCATGATGGAAGTGATCCAGCGAAATCAGCCTGTCACCAGGTAGCTGGCTGACCAACCCTGGAAACGGTGCTGAATCAGGGACTCAGTGTTGGTCTGTGCCGCTGACACAGGAACCAGATCAGCCTTGATGAGTGGAAGTCCATGCTTCTGAGTCCGTGATCACCTCCATCCCTGCCACCATGGCCACTTCGTCCGTGAGTCCTTTGGGTGACGACAGGGGAGGCTGGAGAAAAAGCTGACCGGTATCCACAGAAAAGATCATTCTATCCATTTGATCATTAAAATCCTCCCCAGCTGAGGCCACCCCTTTGGTGGGCCCTTCAAGGTTGTCCCAGGCAGGAGAAGCAGGCAGCTGTCCACATTCAGGAGGTGCCTGCATCCTATGCAGACTCATCTGTAAACCAGGCCCAAGTTTTCTCCCTCTTTTTCCCCTGATCATAGGGAGCTCCCCACAGGGTCACATCTGAGACTAGGGGAGGGAAGACAGAGTAGCAAGAGGGAGACCATGGACATTTGGGCCACTTTTTCATTTAACTTGCTTGTGCCTTCAGGGCCTGCTCAGTCCCAATTGTGTATAAACCACTTCCATTGGAAGATGGGGTACTGATGTGTGTGCCCAACTTTATGAGTTGGTGGTTCAGATGACACCCAGTTCACGATGGGCAGCCCAGGTCGTGTGGTAACTTGGTGGTCCATGATGAAGCATGTCTCTACGAAAGCTCAGCAGCAGCCAGGAGCCCTGTCTCTAAAGGGGAGTGGTTATTTTCAGAGGATGGCAGGCCTTTTTTCCAAAACCCTCAGAGCCTGGGCTGTGATATATCTGTAAGGGCCCATGGAAAGCTTTAAAGAGCATCCTTACCTGCCACTGAAGCCCCATTGGATCTGTGAGATCACATAGCCCAGATGATAAAGCAGCTTGGGTAGCAGCCTGGACCTGTTGCAGACCCTTCTCATGTTCTGGGCTCCACTCAAAAGTAGCACCTTCTCAAGTCACCTGGTAATTGAGATGATGTGACATGCTCAGACGACGAACATGTTACCTCCGAAATCCAGAGTCTCTCTCTAGACAGTGTCCCTCTCTTTTGGTCATCACAAGGGCCAGATGTAGCAACTCATCCTTCACCTTAGAAAGTGTATGTTGCCATGGACCGCACCACTTGAGCCCTAGAAATTTCACTGAGGTAGAAGCCTTCTGAAGCTTCACCAGATTTACCTCCTCCTCTGCGTCGTGCAAATATCTTATCAGGAAGTGTAGGATAGTTGCTACTTCTTGCTCACTAAGTCCACTCGGCACAATGACATACATATGAAGGACCAGTGTGATATCTTGTGGAAGGAAACGATAATAAAGATCCTTATGAACAAAATTATGATATAGGTGGGGTGCACTCAGAGCAGGGGACCTGAGGAAATGACTCCTCTGTTTACAACACACCCAACAGGAATCTGGGTTCATTGTGATGAGGGGCACAAAACTTGAGGCCTTTCTATGAACACATACCCTACACGTGTCCCTCTGCACCTCCACATGGCTGCTGGGCAGGACCAGTGGGACAGGGCTCAATAGTGGAAGAAAAGCCACACTATTTAGTGGGGGAATTTGCCACCTAGAGCCTGTCTGGTCCATGCATGGGTGGGCCATGAGTAGTCTTATAGACATAAATGCTTTCAACCTCTTTTCAAGGGAAAAAAAAAGAGATTCCATGTGCCATTCTGGAGGACAGAAGGTTTTCGGAGCAATGAAAATATTTTGTACAACATTATAACAATGGAGATCTATGTTATCATACTTTTGCCCGAACTAAGGCAAACTGTGGACTTTGGCAATTATAATGTCTCAAAGTATGTTCATCCTTAGTTATAAAAACAAAAGTACCACCCTGGTAAATGAATATAAAGATGATGCATATGTGTGGAGAGGGAGTATGTAGGGAACGTCTGTACCTTCCTGTCTATTTTGTTGCAAACCTTAAACTGCTAAAAAAAAAAAAAAGTCTTAAAAACAAAACAAAACAAAATTAAAAATTATGATGTAGGACTGGAGAGTTTATTTCCCCCTGAGATGGGGCAGTAAGGTGGTTTGCTGGCCTTGCCGACGGAAAGCAAACTGCTTCTGATAGTCTTTACGAACAGGTGTTGAGATAACCCTGCCCCCAGTTAATTCTTTTGGATGTCTGTCTGGTTTTGATTTACGCACCTTTTTTGTTTTTATAATTTCTTATTGTCTTTACGGGTAGTTTTCTTCCTTCACTCCTTGGAAGGTCTCCTTTGTGCTTATTTTTAACATCCTTTGAGAATGTGGTGCTGTTTACATATCATTAGTGACTTTATCTGCTAATTATTCAGTTGGTTAGGTGCCTTTTTGTAACATTATGTTTCCTCACGTGCTTTTAATTTTAATCTCTCTGCTTTTCTTGTGTTTTACTTTTTTAACGTCTAGGCTTAGCCTGCCCTGTCTGGCAGTTTTGTAGTCACATCAACTTTTTTCTTTGAGATGCCATGTGTAAATAAACAGCCAGGTTATCCCTGCAGGCCAGATTTTCTTTCCCGTGGGATATTGGGGAATTTGGAGATCAGGCTCTCAGTCCTGCATGCTAGGACTTCCTGACTCCCGTCCACTGGCAAGTACACTGTTTTATATGAGCCTTAGATCTACGGATGCTCAATTCCATTTAAACTCATTTGTGAAGCAGTTCTCAGATGAAGATCCCTTTCGGTTCTTAACCGCTGTTCACTTCACAAGTAGGTACTTTTTTTTTTAACTTTTTTTAATTGAGTTATTGAGTTATAGTCATTTTACAATGTTGTGTCAAATTCCAGTGTAGAGCACAATTTTTCAGTTATACATGAACATATATATATTCATTGTCACATTTTTTTTCCGCTGTGAGCTACCGCAAGATCCTGTATATATTTCCCTGTGCTACACAGTACAATCTTGTTTATCTATTCTACATTTTGAACTCCCCGTCCGTCCCTTCCCACCCCCCACCCCCTTGGCAACCACAAGTTTGTATTCTATGTCTGTGAGTCTGTTTCTGTTTTGTATTTATGTTGTTGGTTTTTTTTTTTAGATTCCTCATATAAGCAATCTTATATGGTATTTTTCTCTCTTTCTGGCTTACTTCACTTAGAATGACATTCTCCAGGAACACAAGTAGGCACTTTTAGTTTGACTACTGCTGTCTGTTTCTGTGTCTGCCTTCCAGTTCAGAACCGGAGCTCTGCTGACCAAGTCTTCACCCAACTATCAATCACTGTGGCTTCAGACTGTTATTAATAAATGTTCATTTTTATTTTAATATACTTTCTTTAGTATATTTTCTTTCAGTGTCTCACTTAGGAAGCTCTTATTGTGGGATTCATAGAACCATATTTCTTGAAATCATCAAGCACTTTTTACCTTTACAAAAGGCACTTTTTAAAACACTTTTTAAAAATATTATAAATCTTTATGCCTGGATTTTTCTCCCATTTTAATACATTTTAATTATTCTCATCACATCCGTTTTTGGTTATACACTCTTGTGACTGTAACTCCTGGCAATTTGATGGTGTATATATTTCAAATGCAGGAATAATAGGTATTACAAATGCAAAAAGTTAGGATTAAAATGATGACATGGAGACTGAGAAAACAGAAATAACATATAATGAAAATGTGTAGCTTCTGCCAGTCTCAGCCAGTGATGCAAAACGGCTGCTGGTGGGACCCTAATATCTAGAAGGTAATAGAAAAAGGGGAAAAGAAAAAAAAACACATAAGTCAGTGTTGAAATAGCATTAGCATTTTAAGGCAGTGGGAGAAGACACTTCACTAACTTTCCTTTTCACTGACGACAGCAAAAAGGTCTCATATTTTATATGAGTGCATATTTTTTGGCTAATGCTGGTTAAGTCCAAAAGTAACTGTAAGTTAAACTCTACTTTAAAATGCCATTTATAACTTGAAAGCAAGCATTATTTAATTTTCTAGTTAATCAAAAATAATTATTGTGATCATGAATAAAGTCTGATTAAGATTTTGGGTTAATTAGAGAGAGATTTTGAAAAATTTTAATAGATTTAAGTCTAAATGAAATCGAACAGGACATTGCTTTTTTTTTCTTTCTTTTTTATTGAGCTATAATCAGTTTACAATATTGTGTCAATTTCCAGTGTAGAGCACAATTTTTCAGTTCTGCATGAACATATACAAATTCATTGTCACATTCTTTTTCGCTGTGAACTACCACAAGATCTTGTATATATTTCCCTGTGCTGTACAGTATAATCTTGTTTATCTATTCTTCATATGCCTGTCAGTATCTACAAATTTTTTAAATGCTATTTTTGTAAATGCTATTTTTTTAAATGTTATTTTTTAATGCTATTTTTTTTAAGGAGCTATAAGTGGAACAGTTATGTTTAAACTCTGGATTAAGAAGGTGATTCAAACTTTTTCCTATCATTTGTTTCCACTTCTCAGCTGTTTAAAAACCAGTGAGTTGGCGATATCGGTCATAATAAATATTGGACCTGCACAAGCACTTTCTATCTGAACTTGAATTATTTCAAAGTGAAAAATCCTTTCTTTGACCTAAAAAGGGAAATTGCCTGTGAATTGAGGAGAATTTATATATGGAGAGGCCTCCCTCAAGAATTTATTCTTCATCAATTGATCATCTTATCTTCCCTGCATAAGAAAGCACGGTTATGCTTGGACTTTGTAGAAAGTTCAAATGACTTCTAATTACTCATAGATGAATTATTTGTTAAATTAGCTTCCTATTTGCTCACAATTTTATTTTTAAATACATTTTCAGGTGTACTTCTGGATGTCTCTGGTCATTGTCCGGATTTTAACAAGGAGTAAATAAGACTGAAATGCTTCCCTTGCTCTGCATTTTTCTGGAGTGAGAGTGGACTCAGGATACTGACCAGGTGTCCTGTGAAATAAAAGCAGCTGGACAGATGGCACAAAGGCAGCAGGTGACAGAGCCCAGGCTGTTCAGCAAGACCGAAAGAGAAGCAGCCTTATAGAACAGTTGCTCCTAGAACAGACACTGGTTGCTCTTTTTACAGCTTTATTGTCTTTGCTGGATCTAGGAATCTTGAATGACAGGAGTAGATAGGACGCAGAACGAGGTCAAAGGTTCATGAAAGTCTGGCCCTTGATTGAATAATGTCCTCAGTCAAGATCTCCTTACACTACTGTCTAGTTGTTCTTATCACAGTTTCTATTAGTTCTTATTTTTCTTCATCAATTTTATGTACTCTCAATAGGATGACAACATTTTAGAAAAGAAATAAAAAGGAGAAGGAAGGATAGAGAGAGTGGAATTTCCAGGAAAAGATACCAAAGAACAACTGAATGCCAAGAACCATCCTTTGTCCTTACTTGGAATGAAAAGCTTGTCCTTTCAAAGGAGTGGATTATTTAAAAAATAAAAGCAAAATAACATAGATAATTGTTTTTCAAGTTAAGACGATTTTTTAGAAATTTCGCCCTTTGTTATTTATTTCTTTCCATTCTAATTCCTTCTTAATGGAATAAAACCAGGAACAATACTTTCTCATTTTAATTTATATCCTATGACTTGAGATTGTAAGCAAGAGACCACTTACAAATAAACGTCTTATAATATATATCTTTTTTATTAATAGCATTTATTGAAAAAAATTTGTTATGTTTTTCTCCCCTGGGGCACTACCCACCTATGCAGAAAGTGGGAGGTACTGAAAAAGATGAAAAAAATGACATTAGGGAATTAATATTTTACTTTGATCCAACAATTTCATTAGACACTTAGGAGACATTCATTGAACCAATAGAGTTATTAATAAAGTTATATTTGTGTTTTTGGTTCCAGGCAAACAGTTATGATTATCAAATAAATAAAACAGTAATCCACATTATTTGATACCTTGCTCAGTAAGTGTGAAAGCTACTGAGAGCAGTGTATCCATTTTTACTTATATGTAATGCTGACTTCCAATACTCCCATAACACCGAAAGGTAGTATCAATAATTTTCTAAGTCAACTTTTCTCAAAATAAAGTCCAAACTTGACCAGTGCTGACTGCAGAAAAATTGCTCAAGTTAAGAGCCATGAGTTGAGTTTTATTCAGACTCTTACTGAGGACCATAGCCAGAGAGACAGCCTCTTGAATAGCTCTGATGCACTGCTCAAAGAGGTAGGGGGCGTGGCCAGTGTATACATACGGTTTTGTTAGGGAATACACGCAGTCAATCACACATTCCAACAAAAGGTCACTGCTAGTCATGAGGAATAGGTATCTCCATTAATGTTAGTGCTTTTATATATATATATATATATATATATATATATATATATATAGTGCTTCATATATATATATATATATATATATATGAAGATATAAGAATTTGAGTGTATTAAAATTCTCCCTGAGATATCTAACTATCTAAGGGGGCTATTTTTCCAAGCACGGGCTGCTTTCATCCTGAGTTCCTTTTAGGGCGCACTGTTGGTCAGCGATGGTAGTGGC